CCCCCCCCCCCCCCCCCGCTGATTAAGAAACCTTTTTTTGTGGTCAAAATGGATGTCCAAAATGGATGAATTGTCTAATTTGCAGTGAGATGGGGTGATTTATTGAAATAATACTTTAGATTTTTGAGGCGTATAATGTTGCAGTGCCCAGTGTATCGTGTTGCTGAATGCATGAACAGACTGGATTATGAAGATGTTAGGTATATAATTCAGAGAGCGCTTGTGTTTTTCAGGGACAGGTAGCGTGTATTACAACACCACCACATATTTATGCTTTAAAACCAGAGATGCTGAAACAGAACCTTTCATAAAAATGACCTGTTGAATCTCTTTGCTGTTGTCTCTGAAATAACACAATGTGATTAGGAAACACATTTTTAATGTAGCCAAAATTCTAGAAGTTCTGATGCCCTGTATATACACAGATAGCAATACTAAGACTATGTGTAAAAATATGTAGCTATTCTAAAATAATAGATTGCCAATGGATTGCTGTTTAAAATAATGTGTATTTAGGTGCAGCTGTGACCTGATTGGCTTATGAACATTCTGAGATGACCTGCGACTTTGACACATCAAGTGCAGACAGCTGTTTTGACACCACATTAAACACATTTCCTATCCTCTCTGTACACTTTCTATCAATACAAATGGTAAAGAAGCCAAAACATTTACATAAATGAACAAATTATACTGTGCTAGCAACCCCACATATAGCAGATAATGGAAGAGACAGATAATCATAACAGTTTTCTTTCATGTACTGGAGGAGGAAAATGAAATCAGCACTTCACCAACCCTCTACTTATGTTTTAGTGAGACAAGAAGATGTTATTAGCTTAGACTAATGGCTGAGGATCAGTGTGCTGGTGCTGAGGATGATGAAATTACTGGTGGCTGAAGGTCATCCAAACGGCTTCTGCTCAGAGCTAATCTAGAGCCTGCGCAAGACTAGACTAGAGTCTGAAGTGACTGGGACTGGGTGGGAGATATGCTATGTGACTAGCCGTCTTTGAGGAGTGATTAAAAGAGTCAGGAGAAGTTCAGCTCTGGTTTAGATAATCTCTGCTCTGAGCTTTAGAGTTTCACTCTTCGGCCCCCAGTCCTCAGCGCTTACTTCTACTAATTATGCCCTCAAAGTTTCTGCCTCTGAACAATGACTCTCTCTATCTCTCATTTTCTCCCTCTCTTCTTCTTCTCTGTGCAATTCAGTGCTCTAGGTTTTTGGGTGGATTCATCCAAAAATCCCCATCTCTTAGGAATGTGATTTGTTGGATGCATGAACATGCACACATCAAACCAAATGTTCCAAAAGACAACAGACTCTCTGAATAGCCCTCTAATAAATTGGTATAATGTTGCAAATTAGCAGTTTACAGTGCGTAGTACTATTATAGTAAGTAGTACACAGTGTATAGTTTAAAATGTTCTGTATAGTAAACAAAATACAGTTAGTATACTAGGGCTGCAACAATTACTTTAATAATCAGTTAATCTGAATTATTTCTTTGTTATACTACAGTGCTGTTGAATGCTTGAATCTGATTGGTTGACAAACGTGCAATTATTTTTCAGGAAATGCACGGCTATTGTACATTGACAGATCTTGACTGCATTAGTTCCATATCACTTCGCCATTTGATTTAAGTATTTCAAAGGTTGTTACAGCCTACAACAGCAAAATAACCAAAACCCACAGACACTGACCAAGCCAATGTATATAACAAACAAAAGGATAAAAATTGCAACATATTTCCACCTTTTTCATGCTTAATTATGTTTTATTATTGACGGAAAGTACGCTTTCTTTCTCCCACTATCTCTCCCATACAAACACCCACAATTAAACACTGAAACCTACACGCGCACAGAAATGTGTTGTCATTGCTGTCAATAAAATAGATTAACAGCTAAAAAGCTACATGACATTTCTCAGTAGTGAGATGGTAAAGTTGCTGTTCTTGAAGCCGTTAAACTTACAGTTTCACTATTAGTAGAGATGCCGCGGCCAAACACTGTTGAGAGACGCACAGATTCAGGTATTTCCCATACGCTTCACACAGCTACAATTAATCTCTCTCTCTCTCTATCTATCTCTCTCTCTCAGCTGGCTAAAATGCTTTGGTGAACACAGAGCCTTAACGATTAGTTGTTGCAGCATACAGTGTATAGTAAAAAGTACAATTTATACAGTGTATATAGTAGGTCTGAATAAAAAAAATACTGTTATTCTCAAAAACCAATATGTACACACTCATTTATTTAGTAATTTGAATATTTACTGAAATATTAACAAATTAAACGAAAACATATGCATATTTTAAGTATTTCAGCCTCTCAACTCTTATCCCTCTTACTTTTTGTTTGGCTTTAATACGTTTTATAGTTAAATTTAGCTAAGTTCTAATTAACATTCAGTGATAAAATAAAGAAACGATATAAGAAACCTAACGTATACAACTTCAGTTAAGGTACTAATTAAGTAACAATTAGTTAATCTTGGCAGTTTTTGAGAGAGTTCCAAAAGTAATGCTCATTTCATATGCAAAGATGTTGGCCAATCACAACAGTGGTTGCTTACATTGAAATCTTACAGCAGACATGCCCCTTTCGATGGAGTGTTTAAATCAGATGACTAGTCTGTCTAGATGTTGCAGAACATAATGTAGTCCCATGTTTACTGCATCGTCCACAGACCTGTTTGCTCTGTAGGCAAACTGAAGAGGATCCAGCAAGGGTCCAGTGATGTCCTTCAGGTGGGCCAGCACCAGTCTTTCAAAAGACTTCATGACCACAGACGTTAGAGCCACAGGTCTGTAGTCATTAAGTCCAGTAATTTTGGGTTTCTTTGGGACGGGGATGATGGTGGAGCGAAGAAAATGTCAGGGAAGAAAATGTCCATTTACATTGGGTATAGTAAAGAATAACCCCCCCCCCTAAAATAATCACATCTTGTTTCTTTGCAGCCTGAAATGAAGAAGGACACAGTTTTTATTGTATCCAGCTGTATTTACTTAGTGCAACCTATCACATTCAAGCGAAAGATATAACACCGACATGTCAGAAAAAAAAAAAATGGAATCTTTGAAAAACGGAAGTTGTAAAAAGAATCACCCCCCTCCTAAAAATGACTTGTAAACTCAATCAGGTTTAGCTAATCACCTTCTCAATGGCACACAAAGCCATGTGACTTTCAACCGTGATCAGCTGTGGTCATTGAAAAGAGATGAAAAGAGCTTTCCTGGAGCATTTCAGTCCTTGGTAGTGCAACTGAAGCAAACAATTAACTATGGGTGGCAAGGCACTGTCAAAAGATCTCCGGGATTAAGTTGTAGACAGGGACAAGTAAGGAGATGGATACAAAAAATGTAAAAGGATTTATCAATGCCTAGAAGCACAGTGAAGTCTATTATTAAGAAGTAGAAGGTATTTGGTACAACACAGACCCTCCCTGGATCAGGACGTCACTCCAAACTGGATGAAAGAGCCAA